ACCACAGCATCCTGTCACGTGCTAGAAATGTGCTTGTGCAGCCATGAACTGAGCCTTCTGACAGCAGAACCACCAGAGCCACACATTTACAAAATTCCTGAACACTCCTGAAACCATTTCCTACTGTCCTAGAAACACTTCCCACAAGCCATGCCCAGGAATTCAGCTGCTGCCACTAACAGGGTGAGCAAGATACCACCCAGCAGATTGAATAAGTCCCACTGTTCCACTCAGCTCTGGTTTCACAGGGCTTGCATACTGAACTGGAAAAAATCTTGTCATTTCTTATGTGACTCAATTCTATTTTATTGCAAGGAAGTGCTGCAGCAGAAGGGCAAGCTCACACACCTTCTGCTCAGATGAGCTTTTCCTTTAATGCCATATGGACAAAACCGTCACACAATTTCAATTCCAAAATTTTGTAACAGTTTTAGTAACTCCTCAAGGTTTACTGTGCATTCTCTTTAATCCCTGCCCTTTCAGGTCGTCTTTGGTAGCTGTGAGTGATGGCAGAGCAGGCAGTTGCCAGATCCTGCCTGCTTGTTTGCCAGGAAGAGGAGGAAACGCCTTGGGCAGCTCTGGTGTGGACAGGTCATTTATCACATTTTGTTGAGAAGGTGCTGAACAGTGAAACACTGAAAGAGAACTGCTAGCCAAACAGTTGGGGATTTTCTGTCCATTCTTCTTTCCATCTCCACTTACTGTGTCTCAGCTGCAGTGCAGGTGTAGGCAGCAGCGCACAATTTATTCTCCTCCTGGCCATACAGCTGTTTCCAGTATGATCTGTGGACAGCTTCTGCAAAACACGGGCTAGAGTTTCAGCTTGGATCATCAGGAGTCTTGGAGAGAACCTGAGTTGGTGTCTGGCTGTTCACTGAGAGCACAATCTGCTCCAGGGTCACTCTCCAGGTGATGGATGAGCATCTCCCCATGAGGCCAGGGCAAAGGATGCTCAGTGCATCAAGAGGGAAAAGGCACCCACAGCAGGTAGGGAAATCAGAATATACATAAATCCTCACGCTCACAACATGAAAAAAAAAATAATTCTCTCAGGCCACTCAAATTTGGTTTGTTATGTGTTCTAAAGAGACTAGCTTCAAGGAAATAAGACATAATGCTCTGTGCAGCTGGGCATCTATCTGCCTTTCATGCTTTTTAATTATATACACATGGATATTGTCCAGGCCATGAATACATGTCTCTGTTTCAATTTTGGGCTGCAGTGGCTACAAGTGGAGTTTTAACACACTTAGCATTTCATCAACCCTGATGTAAGCAACAAAACCATCTACATGTGGTTTTTAAGGAGCTGACCCAGATCAGTGTGTCCAAAAAGGACAACAAAGCTGGTGAAGGGCCCAGAGCCCAAGTCCTTTGAAGAGCAGATAAGGGAGCTGGGGATATTTAGCCTGGGGAAAAGGGGAGTCAGTGGAGACCTTATCATGTTACAGCTCCCAGAAAGGAGGTTGTAGCCAGCAACAAGGAAGTTATCCCTGTAACAAGTGACAGGATAAGAGGAAATAGCCTTGAGTTGCAACAGGGAGAGGTTTAGATTGGATATTAGGAAAAAATTCTTCATCAAAGGAGCTGTCAGACACTGGAACACACTGCCTAGGGAAGTCCTGTATTCACTGTCCCTGGAGATATCCAAAAGGTGTGTGGACGTGGCACTTGCAGTTATGGCTTAGGAGTGAACGTCTAAGTGTTGCGTTAACGGTTGGAACTGATGGTCTAAGGGGTCCTTTCCAACATTAATGAGTCTCTGGTTCTATAAGCAGAAAGGTGAGAACTCCAACACCTCATTAAAACTGAACTCATCCAAGTTTTTTGGCCTACAGCTCAGACAGCAGTGTTATCCAAGGTGCCTCAGCATGTCTATTTTCAATTGCAGAGCTTCAGAATCAATGTTTCTCTCATCCTTCATCGCCTCCCATACCCTACCCACAGTACCAGTATTCAGCAGAGATGATGTTTAGGCTGGAGGAATTCTGTGGAGGTCCTGGGAGGAAATCTCTGGTACTTCATTAACCCATGGCTTTCTGCCAGCTGATGTGGTTTTGTAACTGTACCAATTTTGGTATCACCACAAATGCCAGCTGCTCTTTAGCAAAGCAGTTATGTGTGTTTGGAGTCAGCAATAAAAGATTAACACTTGGAAAGGTGTTATTTTCTAGACACCAGTCAAATACATGGCAAAGATCATTTCAATATGGATGGTGACAATCAGTGGTGTAAAGTGTTAAGGTTGTCTGAGACAATATATACCCAAACCTAGAAGGTCTGCCTTTCTCTCTATATTTACTGTTCATTTTACTGACTTTACAATAACACCATGGAAGGGACCATCTGAAATCCAGCATGTCTTTTACACCTTGTCAGGGAGCAACCTGGAAATCTCCCTGCGATTCATCTTTACCACAAACAAATCTCAGTGTCCTCTTTCTGAAATGTACATAAACACTAAAATGCTGTAAATCCCTCCAGGCTGACTATACCCCAGCTCTACAGTCAGCAGAAGTGATTGCCCTAATTGAGTGAGTCAATTATAAGCAGTAACCCCGTTGTGGTGAGGTCAGCCTAACAGGCAGCCTTTAAAGACTTTAAATAGGGAACTTAAGAGCAGAACACCTGGGTGGTTGGGTAATACAGCTTCCATGAAGACAGCTTTCATTAACTGATTTCTTGGCAAAAGCACTGTGAGTAGCTCTAAGAACACAAACTTCAAAAGCCTATAGTGTGATACAAAACAGACTGAGAGTTGCATGTGAATAACTTACTTATGTCTTGTCAACTAGGCACCTATGGCATTTGTTAAATTTCATTTCCATCTGTATAACACCTGTGTGGAAAATTTGTCCAAAGAATTAATAAAGGTCTTAGTATGTTACTGCTGAAACACTGAGTGCTGCTGGAAAACCAATAAGCAATGTCAGGGGTTTGAATAACACACGTACCTGAAATTATGATTAAAAATAATTGAAAGAAATGACTCATTCAGTTCTATTAAGCTTTGATTGTTCCTAGGAGTATCAGGGCACGTGCTCCTTACCACACAAAGCTATCTTTCTCCAGATTTCAGTTGCACCAAATAGGGATTGTTTAAGAGGCTCACAAACCCCCTTATCTCACTTCGAAAATAAACAGATTAGAGGCTCAGGCACTTTTTCATTCACTTTATTTGGTAGTGCTGTTTACCTATATTAATAATTATCATATGAATAACATTAGTAACCACATTTATAAAATACACCAAAGTTCCAGACTCAGACCATTTTTAATAGATTTTATTTATCACAAGTACCTTCATTTCTCATCCACACTTTATCCTTCATTTTAGCTACATGTTTCAAAGGGTAAAAGGAAGCTCATGTAGATATGAATGACAAAGGCGTTTTTACAATTGGAAACGACCCATTACATACTGACATCATAAAAATGTTTTTACCACAGTGAACATTATATTTCATATTAATTTTTTAACAAAAACAAAACTGACCCATTTTTTCTTTTTCAGTTCCCTCCCTTGCTCACGTTATGCTTCTTACATACTAATTTGCTACTTTCTATTATCAGCAACATCAGTTGAAAGTGTCTTGTAAAATAAATCTGGACTATAGATACATGCTGAACAAGTCTGCAATTTTCCTCCAAAATGAACTTTGTTTGAAAAATGTCAGTTTGTTGGAAGTTGATGGGGAAGCAGGCATCCAAGGTCCATGGCAGAAGGGTTTGCCACCACCAGGCTCACTGGTTCTTGGTACCACTACTCCAGGCTTTAAGGTCTGGATATCCTGCCCTGGGGCACCACACTCTCTGGGTCTGTGGGTGAATCAGCTGCAGGCCAAGGTGACCACAAGAGGCAAGGGTGTAGGGAATTTGAGGGAATGGGAGACGTGTAATATGGGGGGAGGAAATGAAATATTTCAGTCTTCTTACAGTAATATTTTAAGTGTTTCTAGTCCTGAAATTCTTTGTTTGCTTTCATTTCACAATGAGATTCATTCTTTTTCTTTTGTTGTGACAAAATCCATTATTTACCCTAGTTCTGCATTCCAGCAGTCTCTTGCAGAGGCCCCTGTGTTATGATACAGGAACTGGGGTTGTGATGACGTTGGCCATCCTCTCCCCCAGGACATGGCTTTGTAAGACCCCCTGAGCAGTGACCCTTTCACAGGAGGCAGTGGAGAGGCTGCCTGACAAAGGGCTTCATGGTTTGGTCTCGGGGGTCTGAGACACTCTAGCTAATGGTGAACAGGCAGAGTTCATTTGGTGCGAGAGCCTTCTGCTCACTGCCGAATGCTGGGGCAGCCAGGTTTTCACCTTTGCCTGTGTGTGGGTATTGCAAATAGATCTCATTGAGCCCCAGCTCCAGGGGAGCCCCCTGAAGCACCAGCTTGGGGGCTGTCACCTGCAGCGAGGAGGGGGAGCCTTTGTCACCCTGCTCCCGGACCCAGAGCCCCTGTCCTCTCGCCCCGAACGCAGCCCCGCTTAAGGACATGGAACCTGGGCAGCGAGAATCAGTTCCTAAGGGAGAGTTTGATCTGAAAACACCCCCACACCTCTGTCCTCACTTGAAATTTAACACAAGCTATTATTTTATCATGTTTGCGAGCATGGGTTGCGTCCTCGAGGGAAAGGAGCTTTTGATACGGAACAGAAACGTCAGGATTTTGACTCAATTCATGGTATTAATCTAGTAAATGTCATTCTTGCCCCATATGCATTGTATCTTTATTTTCATATTGCTCAAACTTTAGATGAAATAATCTCATTATTTTGACTTATGGTGTCGATTAGCTGGTGAAAAATTATTTTTGAGAATTTCAGATTACAAATCCTACCTACAGATTAAATTTTTCACTTTTTGTGACAAATGGAAATACATATAATGAAGTGCATTAGAATATTGGTCAGAGGCTTGCTCTAAGCTAAGCACAGAGTGAACATTTTTGTGTTTGCTGGCAGTAAACCAACTTCTCTCTTTTCTCTGTTTTGCACAGTCCTACTAAGCCAATCCTCACTAGAATGAGCACAAAACAAATGAATAACAGCTTTTGTACATCAACATTAAAATGGGAAGAAGCTTGGGAAAGGGCCTCCAACAGAGAAGAATGCTGACAAGTGCAAAAATGCCTGATGGATAAGCACCACCTTCTAAACATAGATCAGCCAGACATGGAAGTGATTTCAGAAGAGAAATGCAATCATGGATTACACACCAGCTCATTAGAAACTGTTGCTGAATACAGCATCCAGAAGACATGCATGAAAAGTCACATTTGGGGAATAAATTAAAAGGGGTGTAGTTGTTGCTAGATAAACATATGTAATATATATGCATTGAAGAGGTTTGTAAATGTCATTTTTTTTATTCGGACGGAAAGCAAAAAGCTTTAAAACCTTTCACAGTAGAGAGGCAGTTAACTTCAGACTATTCCTATCCCAGTAGCCAAGAAGCTGTTAGGACATCTCTCTTAAATTAGCATTTATAGACTCTGAATGTTTCCATCACCTAGTGGAAAAAGCATAACTTTTACTGCTACATTGCTGCACTTCATTTACTTCACTGTATAATAAGTTGACTAAAACTGTAAAGCTTCTCAATTTTTACTGCATATGTGTTCCAATTAATATGTCTGTAACAAACTTAAGACTCAAAAATTATTTCTGACCTATATTCTAGTTCTATGAAGCATATATATTATAAGGTATGTCTGACTGAATATCATAATGCTATAATTTCCCAAGATGCATAGAATTGTTTGTATTTGAAGTGACAAAATAAAAGCCCTTGATTTCTTTTTTAATAGGAGAAAGTAATTTACCCCTTAAATGTAAGCCACTGCTGCTCACTTCAAGGGTGTTTCTTTTCCCTGTTCTGCTGTACAGCTGTGAAGTGACACTCTCTGGCCCATGCTAATGCCAATCAGACAGGGTGATCTGAGAGACCTTCTGGCCTTAAGTTTAAACTCAATACACTCAGTAAACCCCTGAGTTTAAACTCAATACGAAAATTAACAGACTAGTAAGCAAATACATGTTGCAAATAGCCATGTGAGGGCTGGATGCAAATAGCCCTGGGGCACGGCAGGGAAGTCATTCCCTTCCCAGGTCCCAATGGGTGCACTCAGTTCCAGAAGCCAATGAGAAGTAGAACAGGAGAAGGCACAGAAGGAGCTCCTGTGAAAGGCCTGGATGCAAAGCAGCAGAGGGAGGCAGGGACTCCCCCTCTGCTCCTCTCTAACGCTCCCACCAAGGCACACGTCTGTCCTGGCTGGGGGCTGGCTGTGAGCAGTCACTCCCCACATGCCTCTAGGTTCTCCTGTGTATCACAGATTAATCCAGGGCTAAATGAGCACTCCAGTGCTGATTCCCTCAGGGGGTTTAAAGCCTGTTCCTTCATTCTTTGGCTTTCAGGGGAAATGGCTAAAATAATAATGAATTGCTAGTGTTGATCCCATATAATGCAGAATGCTGAAGACATGAGGAAAACATGAGTTAAAACTGCTTTTAAACTATTGACTACACAACACAAATTATTCCAGAATTCAGTGCATGAATCTAAAAAAAATTATTTTACTTTTGAAAGAAAAATTATCTTTAAGCAAACTGCCAGAAAACAAATACAGGGAATCAGATAACTTTTCTATCTAACTACCAAGGTACCAAAGTGGCACTGACTTTACTTGGATGTCAGACAAGTAAATTCATGTGTGAAGCTGGGCAGCATTTAAAAAAATAACTTTTTTAATCTGAAACTGTGCTTGTAACTGGATGTAGAAAATTCTTCTGACTTCTAAAGGACCAGCACTAGCTGATCAAAAACCCCACCCAAATCAGTCAACCACCATAAACATCTTCCCAGTACCTGCTATTGACATGAAGGGGATGGAAGGTAAAAACCAAGTAGTTCACACATGAGGCAGCATAAACTCATTTAAGGGCCCATTTCAGACAGGTTTTTTAATCTCTGGTTAGTCCAACCAGTGTCAGCAGGAAAATGCACATCCTCAGGGGCCAGATGCATTCAGGAGTCCCTGTTAAGTGGTGTCTCAGTGAAGCCCATCCTCATTCTCTGCTCTTGTTGGCTCACAGCCACACCCACACCTCAAAGCCTGTGAAAGGGTTTGTTATCTGGATGTGCTCTCATATCACCATCTTCATTTGCTCCTTGAGTTCACCTCTATCCCACATTATTGCAGTCATGGCTCTTTTGCTGTGACAGAAATCACCAAAACAGGGTTTCTCTGTATTATATTATTTTGTTTAGCATCATGGTGATGTTGTAATGTAAAAGCCCTTTCTAAATACACACAAACATTGCAAAAGAAGTGCCATCACAAGGCATCACAACCCTGTCAGGGCAGCTCAATGAATATGTACAATTTGTACACAGTCAGAAGGGAGAGACATACCAGGATGTACACCATTAAATGTTGACTCAGTAAGAATAGTATGTCTTATCTTTTTAAATGTTACCACCTTCCCATCCCACTCCATTGTAACTTGTCAATTGTAATTTCTTTTTAAGTCAAAAAACTGTAAAGAAAACTGTTGAAATACCTGATTTTCTGTAAAAGTAATAATAACAATAATTTTTGTTACTTCAAAGTATGCTTGGTATTAAAGTACCTAATAAAGTTCAACAAAGACTTTTGTAGCATACTAAAATAAAGTGTGCTAGTGCTTTTCTCCAGCTTATCTGTGATAAGAGCAGCTCTTATTGGGATGACTGCCCTCCTAAACACAAGCCTGGACACCTCCTTCACATCTGCACCTACAGAGGTCCCTCAGGTATGTCAAGTCCAGGCAGAACTGGATCCCTCAATGAGTGCAGGGATTTGTATTCATGGGTCAAATTCCTAGGAGAACCTTGTTGGTAAGTCATCTCCACCCTCTGGTACCTGGCTACATATCCATATATGGGCAGTAATATAAAGTTTCTATTTACTCTGTTTGGTATAAAACTTGGTTTATAGTAAGAGAAAGAAGAGTGCAAACTATTTATAAGTTAATTACAGTTAAATAGAGAACTGACAGGTTTGTAGGATGCTGTTTATTTTTATAGGCAATGCATTTCAATTATTTATATATAGATTTAAAATCCCAAACAAGTGACTTGGATGACACAGTAAAGCTCAGAAGTTGGCCACCCCCTAGTTTCACCACATGAAGATACACTGGAGCCATCAGGGGCTGTCACATCAATCCAGTTTGCAGCAACAGGAGGTAAGTACTTCCTTGTCAAAGAGATGCTGGATTTGCCTCCATGCTGCTGATGCAGCAGTATCTGCATTTGCAGATGATCTAGAAATTATTGTGAGGTCTAATTATAAACTGCCAGGCTCTGACACATTTCGATCAGAGTAACAGATCAGCTTCCCTCACACTATCAATCTTTGCCTGTTCTAGGGAGAAAAATGTAATGCTGGGCCCAGCAGCTTTCTGTTTGTTTTCACTGCTGGTCTGGTATCCTTCAAGCATTTAAAATTTTAGCAGTTCATCTGATTCTCTGAGGATTTGAAATGGAATAAGATCTAGACAGTTTAAAGTAAATAAAAAACCCACCCCAGATTTGTCCTAACTAGTTTGCACATAGAAAAGACAGCCATACAGTGAAATAGGCTCTGAGGTAGTGCTAGAAAGCAACACTCTTTTTCCCCATGTTCTAAAGCTTTACACATTTCTCCTTCCCAAGGAGCTCTGTACAGAATGGAATGGCTTTGCCTGCTGTTGGAGTAGCTGGCAGTACATGCTCACATGGCCTACATTAATAATTTGAGTAGAAACTTTTCACAGAAGGCCTGGAATTCTGCAGAAGGTAGAATATGTAGTTTAAAAACCCATTCTCTTCCCTTTAGATCAAATAACATTTGCGTCATGGTGCTGAAAACACAAAGCCAAAGCTTGCAGTGATCAGACACTGATGTGATGCTTTCTATCACCCATCTGTCTCTCTTAAATTTGTGCTTAGAGTTACTTTATGCCTTTGCCTTCTGAAATGTCTTTTGCATGTTAAAAAGTAAAGTGATATATCCTTCCTTTCTTCCAGATAGTCTCATAACCCCACGGGGGGAGGCGGGGGGAGTTACACAGCTTTTCCAGCTTTTCCACTTCACAAAGTGACAAGAGAAGTGTTGCCTCTGCAAGAGGAAAATCTCCAAGGAAAAAAATAGAAGCAGACACATTATGCTCATAAACTCCCAAGAGGAGATGTGGCCCCTAATTGCCTATGAGACACTACAAAGCTCTTCTCCTTTTGGAATAGCTCCAAAAGTTGCTGCAAAGCACTTCCTGAAATCACCAGCGTGCGACCAGCCTCCAAGGTGGAGCATCAGCTCAGTCACCTGGGAAAACAGCTTGGAAGTGAAAATACTCCAAAAAGCTAAGAGCTGGGGCTGAATTAACCTCCACAAACCAATTTTAAATTGGTATAACAACACAGATTATTACTCCTGATTTTGTCAAGTGTAAGGTAACTTTATATTAGCCTAATAGGATTATTAATAAGAAAAATTATGCATTATTGTTAGTAATTTCTTAGGGGAAAAGTGAAATAAAGATTGTAAAAACCCTTTATGATAGAATGAAGTTTCTTTGACATGATTATCACATATTTTAAAAGTATTTCCACAGTTTAGCACCAGAACATGCTCTAGATCATCAGCTACATTACCAGTTACACAGACCCAGGATTCCCTGTGAGATCCCAGCACAGGAAGGTAGGAAATTTGCTCTGCCATAACAAAAACCAGGAACTTCATCACTTTGACAATTCTCAAGCATGGCTTTCACACAAGATATCAGGCAAGATTCTGGGATGTCAGCACAAATGTCAGGCTTACAGGTATGCAATTAGCATCCTGATTCTCCTTTATATAACTTTAAGCCAACACAATGCAAAATTAATAAGAAGCTAGATATTCAGTCTGGAAAAAAATTTAGGTCTCCTCCCTATTTGCTTTGATTTTTTTTCCATTAAAAAATTAAATTAGTTGGAGTGCCACTGGAATATTCTGAGGCTCTACTAAGTGCCTGCTCTATTTGTTGAGTTTCTTAAACGGCAACAGAAAGTAATGTAAAATATTATGCTCCTGAGGCCATGAGCTGAGATGGTTGGTGAGAGAGCTTTCTAGAAGAGCTTTTAGGTGATAAACTACTACTACACATGTCATCAAGAAAGGAGCTGTTTTAGTCAGTATAGCTGAATTTATGTATGCTTGAGAAAGATAAGGAATAAAATAATTCAGAAATTCTGAAAGAAATTCAGGCTTAATACATGCTATCACTGTTTGGGGGGAGGGGGTAATTTTTATTTTATGTGCTTTAATATAATATGAAAATCCTCATTTGATTTACTTTGCTTTAAGTAATGTGAAAATTCTTCACCCACAAGGTACCCTGGGGATGCTGAAAGCAGTGGAGAGGCTTTCCTGAGCAGCACCAGGCAGGATGGAAGTTGTCCTTATCTGTGCTGCCATCTAACGGCGCACCAACCTCTGCGGGCGTCGTTCTCGTTCTCGGGATTTAGTTACTTAAGGGCAGCTTTGCATTTCCCTCCATAAGATCAAGGTAACAAAACCAGTGCACACATTACCTCCCGTGCCTCTCGGAAACGGGGCAAAATCCGGGAGATGAAACCATCACCATATTAAATCACACTGCATAAAGTTTGATACAAAGTTTGAGAACTCCTATGGGTTTTTTTAATTTCTCAAGACTGAGGAGAATAAGCTTTATCTCTGTAAATGTGGATGAGAACTTTGCTTAGCATTTTAAAAGCATTTTCCAGACCTATTGAGCCCAACATTTCTCAGGGGTAGGCTTCTACATTTCCCAGATATAACAGACACTATTTCTATTTACCCCTCAAAGAACCATATAATCATAGACTTGTTTGGGCTCAAAGGGATCTTAAAGATCACCTAGCTCCAGCCCTCTGCCATGGACAGGGACACCATCTGCTGAAAGCCCATCCAACCTGGCCTTAAACACTTCCAGGGATTGGGCATCCACAGCATCTCTGGGCAACCTGTACCAGTTTTAAACCATTGTCACTTGTCCTGTCACTAGGACCCTGCACTTGGCCTTGCTGAAATTCATGAGGTTGCCAGGGGCCCACTTCTGGAGGTTGTCCATGTCCCTGCCCGTGACCTCCCATCCCTCAGATGTGCCAAGTGCACCACTCAGCTTGGTGTTGTCTGCAGACCCACTCTCAGCTCCAGCACAAACCAGGCAGGCTGCAAGTTACCAAAGCTCTGAGTGGTGTTTGGGAGCATGGAAGGGAGGGAGAGAACAGCAGAAGTAGGAGGCATCAGAATGAATGGGAAAGCTGAGTAGTTTAAGTCAAACCCAGGAAACAACCATAAGTGGTCAGCATTCCTCCAAATTGCTCTAGTTGAAAAAGCAGAGGTTAAGGAGGCTACTGAAATAATGACTCTGAGATGATACTGAATGTGGCATTGATGAGCTATGATCATGCAATAGGAAACTACAAGCATCTTCAAAGGTGACAGAACATAGAAAATTGATGGTCCCTAGAGGAACAGAACATCAGATTTAGGTCATCCTAGATAGCATTTGCTATGAGAAATGCTAAAAGAGTGAAATCTGATTATGGATCACCAGGCTGAGGGCTGGGAGCATCTAAAGCCTAATCCCAGAGGAAGAATGCAAGGACTCTAGAACCCATTAATACATTGATCAGGAGAAAAAGCAGGCTGTGAGGGTGTGGTGAGACCCAGGCTGTGGCAAGAATACCAATTACAACTCTTCCTGCCTGGTAAGGCTGTGCAGCCTCCCAGAGAGATGTCCCCAAGCCCTCACCACTCCCAAAGGAGCTGGAGAACAGGAACCAGAGGTGGGGCCATCATACACAGGCACAGACTGAGGAAGGAAATGGCTGGAGATATAGCAAAGCCCAGAGAAGTAAACTGGGAGAAGTCCAAAGCCAACACTAGAGTTGGGACAGGATTTTTGGCAGAGAACCCCCAAAGCAATAAGTATCACCACACAAATATATTTCATGTATTTCATACTGAGGCATCTGGTAGTCTTCTCAGAGGCATTAGACAATGGGCTTTCAAAATTAATTTGTTAAATAACATGGCATTGCATGGATGTGAGCACACTTACTAATAACTCTGCCTGATCTTAAATAAAATCTCTGCCTGCTGCTTTTGCAGAACAGGAGTCACTGCTTGGTGCTGAACATTGAGGAACTACCACAGCAGGTGATACTCATATTTCCCAGTCATTTCTAGACTGTGCTTCTGTACTCACAGGGAGAGCTGTCACCAAATAAAACATATATTGTATATATGCTATATATAATTATATATTCCTTCCCTTTTTCGCTGCTTCTCTACCCTTATAGGCTCCTTCAAAGTAGAAAAGAAAAATACATATATATCTGTATTCAGAACTCATAAAAACCTCACAAACACATCACATTTTACTCTTTTTCAGTAGCATGTTTTGGGTTTTTTTTTCCTTTTTACAAGAATTACAGAGGATAAAGAACCTCAGCTGAACTTTTACAGACTGGAAAGTGCAGGGAAGAATCTCAGAGATCTGAGATCCATGGGAAGTATGGAGTCACAGTACTGCAGGAACACTCATGCTGGAGGGGCTTTGGGTGGCCTCTAGTGCAACCTCCTGCTCCACGGGGT